TAAGAAGGAAAACACATTGGTATCAACATATGCACTTCTACCAAGCAGTTAACCATGTGTTACAACAGGTGAATCTATTACCATGTTTTATGTTACAGCTCAACGAGAATTAAGGTCATGGTGTTACTGCACCGCTTGTAACTAATAGAATTTCATGCTGGGTATTTATTGCACAAATGGAATTTCAACAAGGCTTACCAGACTCCTGCAGCGCGTGAAAATATCACTGGTTGGGTTAGAAACGCACTGCGGAAGCTCAGGAGACTCTTGTGATTATGCAGATGCAGTGCCAGGCAACACAAGTAGAGCGAGAGACAATAACTACCTGCAGTGTGGATGAAGACACCAAAGTGAACCGGTTTCAGTTAGAAGCTGCTTGTTCCAGAATTAACAATGTTCCTTAACCACCAGAATTATTAGTGTTATATTAAAAGCACCATATTCTGACCACGTCACTCCCACAAGCATACATTAAACTCAGCAAAGCAGAAATTAAAGAGCCAAGATAAACTTTTATTTCTTCTCACATATTATTTCCCAGTCCTTGCACTTGGAAGCGGAAAAGCTAGTAAGTAGTTTTACAGGGCGTCTTACCAGCCATGGCCTAGCAACACGCCACCTCGCAAATTCTTCTCAGCTCGTGATATTAAATTTAGCAGTGAAGAAAACCGAGCTTGCAAGATGTGCGGCCGCCTGGCTTTACGAGGCATTACTCCCGAGTTTGGCAGGTGTTAAGCATTCATGGCGCAACGCGAGCCGACAGGGGCCCAATTATCTTGGTCACAACAATCAGTGCGTGTGAAGAGACATCAAAGTACACCTGCAAGTATATTTTCCCATCAAAGTATGCACATTCATGACAATAACATTTTACCCTGCAGAATTCTCAATTGTCCTTTGTGCATCTTCTATTCCCCTTTCCACCAAACCTTTGTGCTGCTACTGAATTTTGTAAAAATGAGTCTATAAACAGGTTCATTACCTGCACTGCATTTCCCATTACGTATGGGAACCCATCGGAAAGGCGGAAGGAGACAGACACTTGATAGAGAGACAGCTCGCTGATAGCCGTTTCACTCAGTCTTCCCTTTACCATGGCTGCTTGTTTTTTCCTTCAACCCATCTTTCAAGCCCTTTACTTGCATCCTCTCTACGCTCCTGTTTGTATCGACAACAGGCTGTTGTTCTCCCTCTATTCACATTCCCTTCCAGCTGAGAGTAAGATTACAGAGAGGTAACACCACGTTCAAATCGAACATCCGGTTAAATTTCAGAAGTCATTCACCGCTAACATCATCCTTCACCAAAGGCTCCCGAGAGTGGGATCGACAGACGATGCTAGAACGGCCACTTCTGAGCCAGCCGACGACAGCGGGGCTGCGGAGTTGTGTGATCTCCTGGAAACACTTGGCTGGCAGGGGATCGATGTCGTATTAATGCAATTCCACCTACCCGATCAAAATTTGTGTCCCTGTGAAACGTTTATTGGATATGTGACTTTTGTTAGAGAAGAAACAACTAAAAAGAACATCAAGATGGAAAAACGACGGATATTACCGCATTATAAAATGACAATAAATCACATAAACAATAAGGCAGAGGAGAGTAGCCTGCTTGAGGTGGTTAAACGCTTTCATGACTATCAACTTTTTTTCATCATCTGTCAGGAACGTAGCAAGCGGTTATTTGAGTGAGAAACCTGTGAGCAATAAAAACCAAGTACTGATTAGTTGTCTAGCATGTACGTAAAATTTTGCAGAATGAATTTGATCCAATCCCAAAAGAAAGAACACAGCTTAGCCCTGCCCCCCCCCCCACACACACACACACACAATTTAATAATTGTGTGTGTGTGGGGGGGGTAAGAGGTAATCTCTGAATGTTCTTCTAGTAAAATATGAAGGACTGGGTCATAGCATTCAGCGGGCATGACTCTGCACAGCAGCTATGAAGTTTCTTCAGCACTTCAGTTGTGGTTCAATGCACGGTACTGCAGTGTCCCCTGCTGTTCAAGCAGAATACATAATGCTGTACCCCAACGAAAGAAACCCCTGGAACGTCACACAAACCTGGGGGAGGTAAATTACTTCATAATCAAGGATATTTACCCCATTAGAATGGCGTGTGTTGTTTCCTGCCTCACCTTTACCATCTATTTCGTATTACACTTATAGGAAAGGAAGAGAGAAAGGCTCAATCTTTGAAAACTCACTAATTTCTACCTAAAATAATGTGCAGATGCAGCTAGACCTTCAGAGGTACCGTGGAAATGTTATTCACCGTACATTAGGTGTAGTCAAGCCACCGAATCCTTCCCTTTCCCCGTCTACTCCACCTTATTTGTCTTCTCCTCGTCCACCACTACTACTCTTGTCCTCGCTCACAGTCTTGTGACGGTCCACACAATTTACTTCAATTATCCTCACTTCCGCCTCACCACTAACATCCATTATTGATTCCAGATCCGCAGGCTGTGGGCCTTATCTATACCCAACCACAGCCCCACGGTGGAGGAAGCAGAACAGGAACAAATAATAGGACATTGGTTCATTAACACTTTCCACGGCTTTTCACTCCACCCACGTCACACCGTCACCTGCCTGACGAAAAACCGCTTGCAGAGAAACAATGTGGCGTGAAGGTCAGTTACACAGTACGGACGCTGTAAATGCAAAGTAACACTCCGCATCTCTCCTGCCAGAGTTTTTTAATACAATACCGGCTGACATTTAGTGATGCACAAACATAAACTGCTGTCACCGCACGCTAATGTAAAACATCCATCATCTTGAACGCCCGCCGCGGCACCTGCAGAGAGCCGGCGTCAACGATGCCTCGCTGCCATCTCGCGTTACGGCGAAGTTAAGGGGGAGGCTGAGTTCAAAGTGGGATTCATAATGCAATGCTGCCCCCTTGAGATGGGACTCAGGTTGTGGATGCGGGTGTGTGAGGTGTTCATTGGAGCATAGAGAAAGAAGTTTGGTAGAAACACAAAAGGAAAGATAGGAAACGGTCAGAATCTTATCTTTTTATCCCATCGGCGTCGCTCTGCCACGGATCGGTCGCCTTCGGGCCTCGGTGTTCTGTTCAAAGTAGAAAGTGAGTAAGGTTTATGTTGTCAGGGCACGAGGGTTTACTTTAGTTTTGCAACTATTACAGACCCATGTCAGGGATGAGTTTAGTCCTTGATGAATACTGAAACGCCTTACATGCTATTGTACATTATAGAGTTGCAAGGAGTTTGAGCGACTTTTACCTTCCACATGTAGGGACCGATTGTCTATCCGGTACGCAAAGCTGTAAGAGAAGATGAAAATTAGGCCTATTCGAAATACTTTTCTGAGTTTTTTTTCGATAGACCTAAATATCATTTGACACTGAGTGGCCAGTTTATTAGGTGCAGAGGGCCAAAACTAATTCAGTCTCATACAAACGTCCTGAAATAAATCCTAAGGTGCCATTTGTTTCAACTGTTTCAACGATGAGAAATGTGATTCAACTTTATGATTCAATTGGAGGCTGAAGTGTTGCGCTTGCGTTGTGTTGAGATTATATATATATATATATATATATATATATATATATTACACACACACACACACACACACACACACACGTTTGTATTATTTTTGGCAAACCCATTCAAAAAGGTAGGCTAATACAAATCTATTTTTATAAAGCAGCACAAACTGGAGCATCCAATAACATTTCTCTAAAACAGTTTAAACAATATTATAATCTGCATGATGGTAGGGTTTTACAGTTTACAGTTTGATTAAACACTTTTAGCTCTAGCGGAGTTATGCACCGGAGAATAACATGCCTTGTGGAAAGGTCCTATTAGAGACAGTACACATTATTTTTCATCCCTTCAATACGTGTGTCCTAGTCTATCTATTGTTTGAATGTTTTAGGACAGAAATGATACTAACCTCTTGGAGAAATAAACGGCGTCAGGTAGAAAGTGACCCGCTCTCCCTGAATGACGCAGGTGTTGCTAATTGGGGTAATTGAACAGTTTGTTTTGATCGTTGCTCTTTGTTGGTAGTGACGTTTTCCCACGTTGGGCATTAATCTGTATTAACACTAACGCCACATAAAATAACTTCCACCCTTTTCGTTTTCGTCTTGTCATTCAGCCCAATGAGCAGGTGAGTGGACAGCAATGGAAGTTTGGGGCAACAAACAGGCCTCAACTGGGTTCATTGTGTCAGTGGAAGGGGGCGTGGTTTCCTGGATATCATGTGGCGTTCAATAACTATCGGAAATATGACTCACTATTAATTTTCTATTAATGATGCACTTGATTCAATAAAACGGATTAATCACCCCGATAGGAGCGGGAAGCATATGATACCCCTTTTAATGTGTCAATGCATTATGTAAAAACGTACGTGTGCATTAAATGAAGGCCAATTTACAAAAATAGGTTAATATATAGATTTTTTTTTACTCAATATTACATGAATATTACATTGTCTTTGAAGCAACTGCCAATACTATCAAGACCATTGTTTTTAATTTCTTGGTGCAACTTTCAGTATGGGTAAAATAATTGTGTAATTAAAACACCATGCATAATTCTAATGCATGTATTCAGTTGTACCAGCGTGTGTCTTTCTGGTGAGACGGAAACCATAAACAACCGATGCGCATAATGTTTTACTGCTGTCTTTTGACCAAAAGTGGGTCTTCAAAAATGCACGCACAAGTGTATGTATGTATGTATGTATGTATGTATGTGTGAGCGTGCGTGTGCGTGCGTGCGCGTATGTGCATGCATCGTGACCGTGCGACAGAGAAGCTCGGGACGAGCACCTGAAGGCATCACCAGCGCCACTCAGCGTTGTGTGCTCGCTGTGTTTGCCGCCTCGCTCCCCCTCCGTCCTCCATTAGAGCTCTGTTCCATCCCCACTGCACGGCGCAGGCCCGAAGTAGCGCAGCCGCTCTGAGGTTAGTGCCCTACCGCGCAATCTCCATCTATTTCAGCCCCGGCGCAGCCGCATCATCGAACCCGGCAGCGTTGTGGGGGGGTTTGAAAGATGACGATTGTTGTGATGTTGACCGTGGACGCGGTTTTTTGATACATTTGCGGCTCTTTTCTTTTTTTTCTCCCCCCCTCGCTGTCGCGCGGAATCGTATTCTAGGCGCGTATCGGCAACAAGCTCGCGAAGAGTAGAATAGCTGCGGATGAAGTAGCGCAGGCCGCCCGGGCCTCGCTTGTTTTTGTTTCGTATTGCGCGGGTTTCGCGCTAGCCGCCGTGCTAACCGAGGGGGGTCCGCCGCAGAACCCTCGCACGCGCACCGAATTCACGTTTTGTGTCCGATGTCCGGACGCGAGGGAAGCCGTCGCCGCTCACGACCGTAGCTAACGTCCATTCAGATGACCGAAGCTTCACCGCCGTGACGGTTAGCTAGCTAGCTAGCTAGCGCATTAGCGCGAATGCAGGACGGCGCTAGCTTAGCTCTGTTTGCTAGTTCGTTGTCAGCCCGACCGGCGCGTCTACTAAACGTTACTGCGCTGCACGAGCAGCGACGTTGCGTATATAATAAATATACGTGGGTTACAATGTGCTCATGCTGGCCGATGGGGAATCGGTGTGCTGGTACGCCGTGGATTGGATTAAACGACAATGTTATTATCGAGGCGCGCAGCATCCCGTTGCCCACAGGCAGCACATTCGGTGCAGTTGTTACAGGGGATATTGCATGTAAACAAGTCCGGTTGCTGTTAGTGACACAATTCGAACCCTTTTATACTTCATAGTTCTGCATTGGTGGATAACAACATTTGCCAATCGCGTATGGGAGAGGACCTGTTTGAAATGAATGATCCACATGTCAGCTTCCCACCGTGGATCAGTTGAAGTTATCCCCAACACATCTGCCCCCATAATGTAACGTCTACACTGACTATGTATTAATAGAATCCTGGATAACTAAGTGGACAAAAGCATATCTTATTTCTTATGATTATACACTAAATATTATGTATTCAATGCGTCACGGCATTGTAGGTTTTTACATGGAATTTGTTTTGAAAAATAGCGTTCAACCCATTCTCGACATTCATACATAATAGTTCAGCTTTTCAGCCCTCGGTCAGACTATAATGCCACACTTAAGTCATCTGTAAGGAATGAAAAAGAGAAACTTACTGCATTTAAACTGGCCTGCTGCTACTAACTCATGCACTAAGAAATTCCTGTTTGAATGAGTTCAACCTAAGGAGTGCTGATAAACGTTATATGTGTATAAATGTCTAATATGTGCTGAATACTGCTTTTTAAACCAATTTCATGTAATCTATTTAAGACATGACACATTAACACCTGCATTTATGAATGCCACAGTTTTGTAAATAAACTGTTAAAGTTAAATGCCCTTCATGACTTTTTTTTGTAGTGCACATGGTTACAGAAATACAATTACAGATTCATTTTTATTTCATTCCAAGTACGTGTTGAATCATATAATCATAAACACGTTTTACAACACAGATACTAGTAGGTTTTGAGGTCTTTTTAATTGGCTCACCCAGTGAGGCCAAGCACTGTGATACCCAGATAATCGGGGTACACTTCCCGGTCCCCGTCCTCCCCGTTTTTTTATTTATTTTTTTACAATGGGGACCATGAGCCCGCTCTGGCACTTTACGGGCCCCGACCCCCACGAAAGCGCCACGCGATACCGAAGAAACGTGTCAACCAAGACGCAAAGTGTATGCAATGATAAGCATCCGCAAGACTTGCCTCCCCATGCGAGTTCTGTGTCATCAACGAAAAGATGAAATCGATTCTTGATCTCACCCTGCATCTCTTTGTTTCCCTTTTCTCTCCTCAGTCTTTCTACCGTGGATCCAGCTGTGCAAACCAGGTGGCTAATCATGGATGAGCACGTCATTCACCAGACAGAACACATGACCACCATAGAGGCCAGCGCCGTCAGCCAGCAAGTTCATCAGGTGCACTTATAAGCAGAATAGTTAAACGGGCAATCAGGAATGATGAAGAGACAGACACCCTCCTTCCCATATTAACAAGATAGCTGAACATTTTTTTCCAGCCAGTTGGATTGTTACACTGGAGCAGAGCGATTTAAACCCATTCTACTTGGATCATTACTGTGTCTAGGTACACGTGGCCACCTACACCGAAGCTTCCATGATGAGCGCAGAGGAAGACTCGACGTCTTCGCCAGATGATGACCCTTATGACGACACGGACATCCTCAACTCTGCTGGCACGGATGAGATCACCGCTCACCTGGCGGCCGCAGGTACACCCGGACTTGACACAGTAGTGAGAAGCCGAGCATTTGGGGGATCCAAAGTAGTGCGGAGTAGGATTCATTAATTAAAATAAATTAAAAAAAGATCCAACCAATGTCTGGCAGACAAAGCAGACGATTGTATCTTGCATCTCCACATTCTGCTAATCCAGTAAAACATCCTGAGTTCAGTGTAATGCTTTTGACTGAACAGCAGGTCGTGCCAGTGGACTGTTAAGTGGAGACAGCGGCACTCTGATGTCTTGCGTCTCATCATGTTACTGACTTTTCTCTTTATGTATTCGCGCTGTATTTAAAATGTCACTTTCATTCTTTTAAAAAGAAGTATAGAATCCAAACCCAAAGAAGAATGGTTTGTGCGAGCTGCACATTCATAAATATTAAAAGCTCTCATCGGGGAGGGAAAGAAACAGGAATCTAAGAGAATTTAGAGAACATCCTTCATTTTGATTACCAGCCTCTATATTTACTAACAATAAAAAACGCTCTTCCTCTCTCAGGGCCAGTTGGCATGGCAGCTGCTGCTGCCGTAGCAACAGGAAAGAAAAGGAAGAGGCCTCATATCTTTGAATCCAACCCCTCCATCCGCAAGAGGCAGCAGACACGTCTGCTAAGGTGATCTTATGACATCAGTCGACAGTTCAAAATGTCATTTACTGCACCCAAGATCACTGTGCACGCTCAGACAGAGTTTGTGTTGTGCATTCACTGTAAACCAGGAGATAAATGATGGTGCGTGCTTACAGGAAACTGCGAGCCACCCTGGACGAGTACACCACCCGAGTGGGCCAACAGGCCATCGTGCTGTGCATCTCCCCCTCCAAACCCAACCCCGTGTTCAAGGTGTTCGGGGCGGCTCCTCTGGAGAATGTGGTGAGTGGAACAGTCCGCCTCAAATGTTGAATGATCCTCCCAAAGTAAGTCGCCACAGCCGCGGCACCGAACTGAAGCCGACTGTTTTGCCGTCCTCCAGGTGAGGAAGTACAAGGGCATGATGCTGGAGGATCTGGAGAACGCTCTGGCGGAACACGCCCCCGCCGGTGGAGACCTGGCCTCAGAGTTGCCGCCCCTCACCATCGACGGCATACCTGTCTCCGTGGACAAGATGACCCAGGTCAGGCTCAATCCTGCTTAATCTGGTCCATTAAACAGTCGGTCCCAGCAGGGGGCGCCAGTTAGCCACAAATCGGCATCGCAGCTTGTGTTTTATATCTGCTGGGAGTTTAATGTAAATCAAGGTTAACTAGTACCTTTCATCTGTTTTGACATGTCAGTCAATGTCAATTTATTAGTTTGATTCATGCATATTTATCCAGTAATTATTTCTAAAACATTTTAATTCATTTTCCTGGTTGAATCGGGGCTTTGACGTAGTCATCCAGGCCTCGTAGGGGGCCGTCGGCATCTGTAAACAGGCACCGTGTCCTCTCCTGGCTGGACTTGTTGTGGCACGGGTGATCGGTGACGTGCGGATATTACTGATCCTGGCGGATCTTACGCTGCAACATTAGGACCGTTGGCAGCTCGAGTGCTCTTCTCCCCTCGAGGGAACCCGACTTGTTTACTCCTCCACCCGAGGGCTGCTGACGCATTCTGAGGATCATCGTCAGAGCAGCCGGCATTACGGCGGCCCTCGGAGATGGCCCCCCCGCCCGCGGGGAGAGCGCTAGCCAATCCCGGGGCCCGATGTGTCCTCGGAGGGCCGGGGGTTAGTTTTTGCCTGTTTTGCTGGAGGGGGTTGTAGGATAAGATTATCACGAGCAACATGTTGCCTCACCTGGCCAGGCCAGGTGGAAAGGTGTGGAGGTGGGTGTTCTTTACAGGTGTGTGTTGGCGCCGGGATGATGTCCAGTCCCCGGAAAGGTTGACCTTTTCAAGGACACGTGTGAAAATGATATACATCTAGATATAGATCTAGATCTATATATAGAGCATCTGTAGCAGGTGATCCTGGGTCCATCCTGATCCCAAGATTACCCACTGGCCTTGTTAGGACCAGGTACCCGGCAACATAGCAGCCTTGATGCTGATTGAACCATCGCCGCAGGGATTAGAATGCGGGGGGGGGGGGGGTGCCGGCACAACACGCCACTTAACTCGCTAGCCACTGTAATTAGGCCATCTGGCCGAGCACACACGCATCCACGCATGGACGAGCCACAGGTGGAAATGCAAGCATCTTTTTGCCGCTAAATCCGTCTTTCGGGGGTTAATCCCAAGTGGTTCTGTCAGTATGTTTGCTGCCTCTGCCGCAGCCACCCGACAGGTTTTTCCCCTCAGTGCTGCCGTGACTAAGCAATGACCGTCCATTTTATATCAAGATCCAAGTCGACACAACTCTGGGTAAACTTGGTTTGTGATTGTGAGTTTAAAAATAAAGATTGGGGCGCGGAGGGAGGATGGAGGGATTTATTTCCAAAAGTAAATTTAGCCTGTGATGTCAAGGCAGGCAGACACTGCAGTGCCTCATTGTGCAATGTAATCCCCACCCCAGTGATGCTTTCATATTACCGGGACACTGAGGACACCGGCGCAAAACGCCCACCCGGGCCCGTGAGTGTGAGAGAGCACGCTTGTTCTCGAAGGGGTGATGGTGGGGCGGATAAGCCGGCGGATGATCAAATGAAATGATATTTTTTCGATGAGGCTGGAGGCTTCTTGCTGGGTCGGCAGGTTGGGCGGCTGAACGATGTCCGTTCTCCCTTTTTATGTTCCCACGGTGGCCGCCTCAACCCGCCAGGCCGGAGCCACGGCCACCGTTAATAAAAAATCACATTTTTCTGCTTTAAAAAAAATAATTTACGAATAATGTTTCTATTTGCGCCCGTCAGCGGGTTCCCATATCGATACATCGAGAGACACCGCGGGGCTTTCCTGGAGTCTATGTGTCCGCATCATCTCATCTTCTCCACGCATCTCTCCCTTTTGCCTCAGGCCCAGCTGCGAGCGTTCATCCCCGAGATGCTGAAGTACTCGACGGGCCGAGGGAAGCCCGGCTGGGGGAAGGAGAGCTGCAAGCCAGTGTGGTGGCCGGAGGACATCCCCTGGGCCAACGTCCGCAGCGACGTCCGCACAGAGGAGCAGAAACAGAGGGTGAGAGAACTGCCGCAGTAATGACGCCGCACTTTAATACTACTGCAGGGAAGCACTGTTTTCCCCTCTTTTTCGATTGCATTTTGTCTTGGTAAGCCTCGATTTTTGCACTTTTTACAGGCAAAAGTCTCTTTTGTACGTTAGATACCCAAAATCTCAATGGCGGCGGTCCATAATAACTACGGTTTGTGTTTCCAAAGGTGTCTTGGACGCAGGCGTTGCGGACTATCGTTAAGAACTGCTACAAGCAGCACGGCCGCGAGGATCTGCTGTACGCTTTCGAAGATCAGATCACGACGACCACCACCCATCACCATCTGACCACGGCGCAGAGTATCGCTCACCTCGTTCCCCAACAAACCGTCGTACAGACCATCAACAACCCCGACGGAACGGTCTCGCTCATCCAGGTGCGTTTTAGATCGGGTTCTTTTTTTGCCAAATCTGCAGTGCGAAACGCCAATCCCTTCTCGCTTGTTGTTGGGGGTTTTTTGACCGCTCCCCCTTTTCTCTCAGGTCGGCACGGGACACACGGTCGCCACCCTGGCAGATGCGTCGGAGCTGCCGGGCGTCACAGTGGCTCAGGTCAACTACGCCACTGTGACTGACGGAGAGGTACAACCTCATGTGCACTACACAGACCACGACAGACATTTGTTTACTGCAGACAAGCTGCAGCGATGAACTCTGATGATATACGACTTCCTCATTTCCTCCCAACACAATTGAATTGATGGATCAAATACCGGTGCCACAATATCAGAACACAAGCGCGATAACCGATAATGATAACGTGCAATCTTGTTTACCTAAATCCAGATCCTCATTTGCTCTCTCTGTGAAATTTTATATTTTCCCTCTGCAGGTGGAACAGAACTGGGCCACCCTCCAGGGGGGTGAGATGACAATCCAAACCACTCAGGCCTCAGAGGCCACGCAGGCGGTAGCATCCCTGGCAGATGCCGCCGTAGCTGCCAGTCACGAAATGCAGCCAGGAGCCACAGTCACGATGGCTCTTAACAGGTGAGGGGGGGGTGAATACGGAAGTTTTTTAAGTTAGAAATAAATAGCATCTTAGTGTTTCTTATTTACCTTTTATTTACATGTAGTACTTATTAGAACCTCATAAATTAGTTCTGAATTAAGAAAGAAATGCATATCTACATATTTTATTAACGTGTGCATATTCGCAGTCAATATTTGGGGTTTATTTGATGATACCGTCAGATTTACACTTTTTTTAACATACACACACTGTCGGGTTTAGGTTACACCGGTTAACTGCCTTTCATGCCTCTAGTTCAGCATCTAATTAATTAGCCTGTAGCTTTACAGGGCCAGGGTTCACAATTCCATGTGCTAATTGCATAGTTTGATTTTGTTTACCTAAAAAAAAAACTAGTGCACGTGTTAAATGCTTGATTTCTTGGTCGTACGGCTAAAATCATACACACATGTACTTGTTCCTGGGATTAAAAGACTAAAGAGTTACGGGTACAGTATGCAGACCTTTAGCGACAGGCTGCCTGCGGATTCAGGAAATAGTATTACGACTGAAAACAATATCAGCGACCAATGTCTCAACCGCAGCCACTCTATTAATAAGCGATGGGTGGGGTTTGTTGTTGGTGTGTTGCTTTTCTGGAGGGAAATCAGCGACACGCGGTGCTATTCAGACGGGATTTACCGTAGCATCTTAAGTCGCGTCCCATGGAGGGCCGCGTTTCTGCAGGATCCCATTACAGCGAAGGCGTGTAGGTGATTATGATGAGCTGGTCGTCTTTAGCTCCAACTCAAAGCTTTAGCTCCACTGCTGTGGCCACTTCCCGGGTCTACATATATAATGTCCTCGATTGTTTTTTAAAATCTTTTTAACTAAACGGCAGATGAATCCCGCTGACTTGTTGAGAACCCTAACGTGACACTACTGCTGTTTTTTCACAGCAGCGGTGTCAAGGTAATCATTTCCGATGTGTATGGGTATGTCCCATTGGGGCTTGTTACCTGCACCCACCTGAGTCCCCCCTCCTCCCGCCTCTCCTCCCCTCCCCTGTGTACATGTGCCAAGCTACTCTGAGCTCCGCTCAACAGGCTCTGGAACATTTTGTCTCTGCCTTCTACCTCCAGAGGGAGAAAACAGGTTCTTTCTCCCTCTATCTTTGCTAATGTGTGCAATAAAAAAAAACATCTTCGTCAACTTGACAACATCTTTGTCAACTGCAAAAGCAGAGACTGTAAATAACAAGTGGACGTAGTCACCAATAGGTTTAATTACAATTATGAAGCCTTGAGTTTAGCATGTTGACCAGCCTACATCTTTTCTTTTTGCAATCAGAAGTGATGCGAGAGACTGAATTCAACTAAACCGTCGCTGTGAAAGTGTTAAAGCTAGAAAGACGAAAACCGCTCAAGCTGCCAACGCCGCGGTAGTGACTTGTTGATCATACGCCACGGCCAAAGCATCCCCTGCTGTATCCTCCATTTTACTCTGAATGGGACCAGCATTTAAGAAATGACCATCATGCTTTATTGAAGATGGCATGAAACTATTCATTGAGGCCAAAAACTCATGTTCACAAGTTTTATTGAGGTAATAAATGAAGTTTTCCTATACATTAGAAAGTTACTTCCACAATACCCAGAGAGAACCTGTGCGAACACAATGAGTAAAGCCATCTCTTTGCCAACCATTTCATCTGCAATGCATTTACAGCTAAGGAGGGAAACTACGGGATGTAAACCAAAACCACACCAAGGATGATCCCAATTCAATATCTCGAAGGCTCGAAAAACAATTTTGTTTCTTCACCCATGTTGATAAATTACTGCGATTGTTTCAACCAAAAAAACTTCCTGGTGCGTGTCATCATCATCATACCAACCCTATGAGTGCATCAGCACCGATTACTGTCTCCATCTGTACTCCCTTAGCTCCGCCCCCTACCCCTTATCCTAAAGTTCCATCTCAGATGTGATTATCAGCCAAGCTGTGAACAGTTCCATTAGTTCATAACGAAGCTGCTGCCTTAATAGGCTCCCGGTAATTCCACTGGGTGGATCTGGTCAATAAAACTGCTTTGTTAGACCCGGAGCACCTGGCCGTTTGGGAGATGTGACAGATTCTCCATAAGTCCAGACTAGAAAAGCCTCTTACAGCTCACACACTCCTACCTCTTCACCCCACATCTCAGTAATGACCCCTGCCTTTTGTGTGCGTGCGCGTGTGCGCGCGCTTCTGCTTTGTACCAATGATTTTACCCAAAAGCTTAATCGAGTACGTTCATCTCATGAGTGTTAAAAGGAAAGGTTCATTTCCGTGTTTTTGTACATCCTAATGGATGTGCGTGTGTGTGTGTGTGTGTGTGTTCTTGTGCGTTGCAGTGAGGCAGCAGCCCATGCTGTAGCCACGTTGGCAGAGGCCACCCTGCAAGGCGGGGGGCAGATTGTCCTGGCAGAGACAGCCGCTGCTGTCGGGGCGCTGGCAGGAGTTCAAGATGCCACAGGTACGCATTCACCAGGGATGCTCTCAACAGGCAGAAGAAAAAAAGCATGAACCCAGTCTCCTGCAGTACAAAGTCTATCTGTATGTTCTCGCACTAGATGAAAAATATGAGCCGCTCGGGACCCAAAAGATAGCAAAAGCTGGGGATCCGGAAATCAGATCTTTTATTCCAAAACTCGGGTATAGAAAGTGCCCAAAATATTTACTTTTTGGGGGCCCCCCCCCCCCCCCCCCCCCAAAAAAAACAGTGATTTTCTGAATGGTTTACAGCCACTGGCAGGTCTAATTAGTCCCACTAAGTTTAAGCTCCCACGTCCACTCTAATCTACTCGGTGCTGATGTGCCAGATGGCGTGTTTTTTGCGTGTGTATTTCATAGCAGTGCTCCATCTTTTTTAATGGTACCTTAGCTGTACAACCCCGTCGCCAACCCCCACCCGCCCCCCGTTCGTTGCTGGGATTGGACCAATTTGTAATGACGGCCTGAACCTTGTTGGAAGGCATCGACACAATAAGAGTTAGTGTAAAGGTACCGCTTGTCAGTGATTAACATCGCTGGATAAGATGCTAATTTGAGGTTGATTTCTGCATGTAGACTGGAAATGGAAGTGGCCTATTCCACGAAAAGATATTTTGATGCGTTATATTTCATCTGCATGTTGTTGCGTATATATTGCCGTCCTTTTATTTGTAATTATCGCTGGTGTCGAAGCAGTTCAATTGTCTCTTTTTAGCAGATCTATGAATCAGTCATTTGTAATCAATGCAGTGGTGCGACAAACGAATCATCGTAACCCAGTTTTTTTTAATGCTTACAACCATCGAATAGATCAGGAAGCCAGACAAAGCATTTAGTTGGACACACGTTTTAATCAACTGTCAATCCTGTTGTTATTTCTATCTTCTAGTCATCACCTTCCTACAGTGGGATAAACACACACACGCACACACAATATTCCACGGGCATGAACAGGATCCTCAGGGGCCCTCCTAAGGAGGACCAATCCTCTCCATTATCAGGCCATGGTCTAATCACGGGGCCAGCTGTCAGCATGCAACCCCAGGTTCCCTCGTTTGGCTATACACATTCACACATACATGCTGCATGAATATAGGCCAAGTTCTAAATGAAACAAGTGTATCTGCATACCCATTTGTACCTATGATTTCCTTGTTTTTTCTTACTTCTTTGCACCAAAGCATTACTCTTTTCTTTTGAAACACCACAGTGATCTTTAGACGCTTTACCTAATGTCGCCTTTCTAGCTCGTACAGCTCAGTGTGTGGCTCCATATATTACAAAAGGAGGCTTTCAAATTGTGCCGAAATTGGCATTTCATGCAATCTTTCAATGGGAAGCTTCGCTGCACCAGTATTTTAAAGTATAAAATTAAAAGAACAAAAACAAATGTGGGGCTTAAATAGCTGGAATTTTATTTAATAATTGAAAACCCATTGGCTGTTTCTATTGGCTAAACAATCCCGTTTTTAAATGAAATCCAGTTACTCAAAAGAACATTTAATTCCATCAGAGACTGTATTATAACGGAAACCCCAGGCAAATTATATACAAACAATATTTGTTTGTTGTCTTGCTTCCTAAACCACGAGGAGTCATTTGGCTTCAATAGCTCACTTAAAACAGGTATTGGAGCTGCCAAAGTCAGTCCTTCTACTGAGTATTGACCTCAGCTAATCACTGAAGTGCGACACAGTGGAGAGCTCCATTTGAAGTGCACCGACCCAGACAACACTGATTGGCCTGTCTAGCGTCACACACTAATACACACACATCATAGGACCCTTAATGTCCAAGTAATGAGGCCCTTCAGTCTGTAACTCTGCTAAAACTGCACGTCACTGTGCCAGGCCCAGTGCCCTCCTCCCTAAGCCCTCCTCCATAATCACTGCCAGCACAATTACCTGCATCAGCAAAATTTAACCCCCTCCAGAAAATCAGTGGCGAGTGGGCCGATGGAGGGCCAAGAAATACAACATGGGAAGTCATTTTTACTTGAAAGATCAATCATTGTGCACATGCATTGTATACATGGACGTAAACCTTTTGAATGGAGTCCAGTGTCATAGCTCACATTGTTAGCCACCGCCATCCACTACACTGACCTTGTTGCCTGCCTGTGACACTGACAGCTTGCAGGGTGGGGCAGAGGCCCACGTGACTGCAGCAATAATCCCTACGGGCACACACACACACACACACACAGCTGGACACGAGCTGAGAACGTCTGAGAACAATCGGAGCATTTGTCAGAAATACCCTCTATAAAACATGGCTGCCTCCTTTCACAGACGACTAGCTGGACCGGACTGCCTCACAAACACGCCATTTCAAACTCGGTCTAGTGACAAAATAACCCGAGCAGACAAGACTTTGATAGGCCAGAGACAAAACAAGACTAAAAAAGTCTTTACTTCTTAGATCCTCGCACCCACCAATGCTCCCAGATACATTTGAGGTAAATTGAGTAACCGGTAATGATTTGTTGGGACTTTTTTCCAAACGGGTTACTTAATTAGTTACAACACTTTAACTTCTAATTAACTGGGATACCTTGCATTCAACACTTAACACATACGGTGTCGTGGCGCCGTGTCTAAACCCCCAAAACCGCGCGTCTGCTTCTTCCCTTCAGGTCTGGTCCAGATCCCAGTCAGCATGTACCAGACCGTAGTGACCAGCCTCGCCCATGGAAACCGGCCCGTCCAGGTCGCCATGGCACCCGTCGCCACGCGCATCGAGAACACTGTCACGCTGGACGGCCAGGCGGTGGAAGTCGTGACTCTTGAACAGTGACAATTAAGGCCCTGGAAGGAGTAGGAGGCACTTGAACGGCCACCATGGAGATTTGTCCATCCTACTGTTTCCAGCACATCGCGCTGTGTACAATGTCAAATATATTTTAAATGTACACCCTCAGGGGAGGGTGAAATTGAGTTAACAATGTGTTTACTATGTAAAGATGTTGTTTTTTTTGTTGGTACATTTTTCTCCCAATTAGCGTTTTTTTTTTTTTTTAGCTCTGTGATGTTGAGTATTTAGTATTTATTTGTTTACAATGAACCTTTACTTAAAACAAAGATGAACCAAAATGCCCGGGGAGGAAAGCCAGCACTGGTATGGATTTTCATCACTGTTGTCCGTGTGCTTCACTGTTTTGTTTTTAGGATGCATTTACAATCCAGTGCCATAGTCGGACGTCCCTCCCTTTTATGATTCCCATATCGTTGATCACTATTCTAAAAAGGTCACTGTTTCCGCCTCAACCTTGAATGCCAGCATTGGAGCTCAAAGACATTTCACACATTAGATTATGAAATACTACGTTGAAATACCATCTTGTATTGCATCGTGCGCATTTCCCTGTGCGGTTTTGTTGTAGTCCGCGCGCACATGCCATGATTTGTGAAGACTCAGGATACACCACAAGCTGTTTGTTTTTGTTTGTTTTTTTACTGCTGGATTACTGAGCTGCCATCCCAAAGCAGCTAATTTGTCTATTGGATCCGTTTATTTACAGTGCATGGATAGGGGCACCCCTTGGCATGTTATTTTTTAAACACAAACTGTATGTCACTGAGGATTTGTTGGTCTGCATCACCTTGTATATCGAAAGCAGTTCTTCCTCTCGGGCTGCAGGATGTGTGATGCTAATATAAAACATCTTGCAACAAAAACATGTGATTGCCAAGAATCACCTTGGTTTAATGCAGCCACAACAGTTGGTTGAACTCTCACCACTATTTAAAAGAAGGTCCAATAAAACGACTGACTGTTCACCATTCATTCAGCATCTCTTGATTATCAGTACACTGTGTTATGCACCTGTCAGTCACTTTCCTTAAACAGACAGGTGACTCAACGGAGTCAAAGAATGGTGCCTTTTTCCAATGATGTGCAACAATTTAGTATCAACGGTAGAACAGAAAAAAAATAAGATGAAGCCTCATTGATGCATTCCCATCATATATTCTATGCCCCATAAAGCCTGATCTGGCTACCAATACAGCAACGTGTACAAATACGCCTCCTAGAAGTTTCTCCTGCTAGACCTCCGCTGGCGCACGGTGCCATGGTCCAAAGATGTCCAAACCTAAGAGAGAACGGTAGGTAGATCAGACATCTGAGTTTGTATTGTCCTCCACAGTCTTTGGCATATGTCACAGTGGTAAAGGATGCCACTGAGACAGCGTTTTCTACCAATGATCCACAGACCTGTTGCTCTCCAGACGCCCTCCAACAATATTGTGTCTCTCATGCTTTAGTAGAGTTTGAGAATTGATTTTATCTTGGTCTCCCCTAATCACGAGGTAGTGGAAAGTATCAATGTAATGTATAACAGCCACGGGCCCCCCTGTTGTAAGGGAGGTGCGAAGATCAGCGGTTTGATTCCAGCTGATGGAACTTCTCCACAACGCTCATGAAGCAAAGATCCTCGATAGAAGCTTTTTATGAAGGGTTGTCACATGCTGCAGACATTCCCGTTGGGTATTCTAGTCTATTCTGTACACTGACGTTTGAGGCGCGCTCCCGCTAACTGAGAGTTTGGTTCTGCCCAAATGTCAAATCGCTGATCGTTGAGGGCTCTCCGGCAGACATTTGGAGTCCTTTATGAACCCTTTCCGCAGGTCGCCATGAGATGCCCACTTTCAAATAAGCCGGGAAGACGTTCAAATGAAGAGTATGAAATAAATACCCTCAATTGTAAATCATTTTCTGGCGGGACACATGGCAGCAAAATGCCGTCCCATTCACACCATTTCATTCATGTCATATTTAAATTGTTGCTTAAACAATTGTAGCCGGTGTCACTTGGCTTTCCTTTGCCTCACTGTTGATATGTTAGCCCAGCTATGTATATACATCAATACAACTACTTCTAACGACATTGATTAAATGTGGCTTTACTGACTTTCAACTGAGAAATAAAGCCTACCTCATATACATGTTGGCCCAATATAGCTAGCTGAGCACTGGAGAGTGCATAGCACAAAAAGAACATGGCTAAACCAAGCCACCCACACCAGCTATGAACATCACTGAAAACAAAAGATGATGGCAGTACTTACAGTCAATGTTGCTACAAGAGCACATGGACGTGGACTTTGCATACGCATTTCCCCGATGAGCTTTCTACCCCCGACTGCGAGGAAACAAAATGGCCGCCTTCAGGGTTCAAAGGACAAGCAATTAATACAAACCCAAATAAGCACCACCTACTGACTGTACAATGAACTGGAGAGTCTTCGTCCCAGGTCCAAGTGCACTGTATGCATCAAAAACGTAAGCGTCCAGCCATACAAAAAAATTGAATTTACCAGAAGTCAGTGTTTTCTACAGTATCAACCTTTTAAAACTCCCACTCGCACCCCCTGAGGAGAGTATCGGGCAAGGTTAAGCCGGGTTCAGGAGCAGGTGGAGACCAAAAGAGAGCTGAAATTGTTAATATGGGACTTATATTTGGCAGATGGCAGAAAATAATTCATTGTAATTGTTTAATTGTCCGCTGTATGACTGTCAATTTGTTTAGCTTGCTATTTTTTCATTAGCAATTTAAGATGTATCATATCAGAGTAAGCTAAGAATTGGGCTCAACACGAAAATGTATTCAAAATAACTATCTCCTCCATCCACACACATGGTTTGTGGTTTCACAACTTGGATTTCCCCTTTTGAAGGGTGTCACACATCTCTGCATGTCGTCTAGTAAGGACAGTGGCCATAAAACCCAATAACTTCCCCACCCTCCTCTACAGCACCCCCACCTTCCTTCCCTTGACAAACAGGGCCATGATTACATCATAAGCTGCCTGAACCTCCTCTGCTTTAAAGCCTGGGATTTGCTAGCCAGGCCCTTCTGTTGCAGAGTAAAACAGAGAGAGAGAGAGAAGCGTTCGGGCCTTAATCTATCGTGCATCAGTGTACGTGCCGCCCTTCCTCCAGATTAAAGCAGAAGCATTCACGCAGATGAAAAGATCCCATTTCCTTTCTTGTTTTATGTATCATTATAAAAATGCCTGTTTTGGGTTAATAAAGACACTATATATGTTTATCTTATTGTCTGTGTTTTTGTGTGTCTGTGTTGGAGAGATGAAACTTTGTATGAGGTTGAAGTCATTCTAGTGTGTGTTATTGCAGTTCAAGAAGATCTTATTGATGTGCTTTCTTGGAAAAAGGCCCACAACTCGTGCTACCTGAGCCTCTACCTCCCCCGTCTCCCTCTGCGCACCATCCACTCAGCTACACGCAGACAAAGTGCATCAAACCTTTCAACTGCGCCATTAATGATAAACGTAACGGAGTTATGAAATGCCACAAGCCCAAAAAGGACAGAACTCGTTTTAAAGGGACACCGTGAACTCCAGTCACAAATCACAATAGTGTGGATGTATTTAAATACATTTTTGTTTTCATAAAACGGTAAAGAATTACACCGCTTTTTGAGTGAGTAACATCTTTTTTTGTCTCATTCCAACATATGAACTAAAAAAAAGGTACCTAAAAATGGTGTAGAATAAAAGACATGCAGAGATATTAACTCTGTATTATATATTTCTCAACAAATACCGCAGTATAACATTTCATGCTAAAATTGGACTGCAACTTGCTTTCTAAGAGCTAAACTGATATTTTTCATATCCTGAAAATTCTCTTCAACGAAATACTAGTTTCTATTGTTTACAAATGTTTTTTTTCCCAATCCACCTCCAATATTGCACTTAACTAAGCTTAAATATTCTATTTAGTAAAAACAAGATAATGTCGTGTCACTATTCAGTGTCAAATACGCAGTATATTTTCTATATAACAATGCCATTATGAGAAGCAAGTCACTGGGGGAACGCACATTTGTTGGTTTATTGCTGCACCTGCGTCCGTCTCGGCCTCAGAGCGGCGTTCTACAAAGAAAGAACCAGCGCTGCATTGCGTGTTACAAGTTACATCAGCGTGCACTGTCCCAAACATCACGTCCATCCGACTGAAACCATCCAACAGGCATCGGGCTCGCACTCCGTCCTGGGGGGCAATTTGTTTAGTGGTGGAAGATCGCTTGGGGCAGAGACAAGCTGGTGCTATTGATTCCCCACAGCTGGGTGGACAAGTGGACAGGCCTTCAGCGGCCCGGCTCCACGGGGTTGGGGGGGGGGGCACGGCAGGGTGAGAGGGGAGGGGCTGTTCATTCTTGTTGCCTGGAGTTGTGCGGGCAGACTCCAGGGCAGAGCTTTAATCTCCACTAATCGTTTCTTAATACGTGCATCCCAGGCCCTGCACCCCCCCCCACACACACACACACTCCCACATGGACACAAATACATACAACATACAAACTGCTCACAGTCCGAGCCCACACTCACTCACGAGAGATAATCTCCAACCCCTCGTCTCCTGAGCATCGGGTCGGGCTGCAAAATTTTTATACCAGGAAACGGAACCTGGGAAATTGAAAATACCCCTGCAGGAACCATTCACAAAATGACCAGTCTGACCTGAGAAAAGCAGTGAAAAAGCAAAGAACTGTAACACAATAACTGACTACCATCTCAGGGCTCATCGACCTCTGGAGCTAATGGAGATTTTCACCATATGCATCAGCAGACACGTTGCTGATGAAGCGTCTTCCCCCATAATGTGGTCTGATGGTCTAATAATGGGATCCCCACCTTCCCAACACACACCTCTGTCCAGCTCCAGCCCAGACACTGCGTAAGAATGACGGTAATCTCATTTCACTAATGCTCTGTAGCTTTTAGAACACAGGCGAAGCACTGTGTCTCAGCCCGACTCTATACCCACCCAGGAAACACTGCGTGTGTGTGTGTGTGTGTGTGATAGAGAGATGGAAAAAAGGGGCCAGAGGGGCTGTGGGATAGAGGGGGAACTGAAAAAATGCGGTGTAACCTGAGCTGCTCGGCCCATCTGGAGAAGGCCTGCATTGACAAGGGTTATCCCACAATGCACTGCGCTGCGGAGAAGGTCGTTTAGACGGAGTGTGACACACGCATTGGTCTTTTGAAAGTGTTTATTTGCATCACAGACGACAGAATTTGTGTGATAAAAAACAAACAAACACAAAAAACAGACAGAAGAGAGGAAATCACATGCAGAGAACAAACAGTTTTGTTAAATGTCCACCTTATACATGTCACATGTGCAAGACATGTTCTGTAACGTGGAGGCAAGCACACATAACCTGAAATAACAGCTTGAGCCGAGCTCTTTCATGTCAACTAGTCCGTGTACCACCGCAACAAGCTAAGCACTTACCCACTCTCCTCCCGTTTTAATGGCCGACCCGCACAGGTCCGATGACCACGTCCGCGTTGATCAAATAAAGCTATCCTGCAGGCAAACCCGTAACAATACAAAGCATATTAGCTAAAGCTGAAGTGTAGGCTATAAAGCAGGATTTATGCAAAGGCAGATGAAGAGGTTTTAATCCCCAGATCCCCCTGTCACCTACATTAACAGACCCTGACCCAGATATACGGAGCTCAGTGCGCACAGCAGCAGCTTTTAGAGGCCGTGCCGGAAAAAAAAACGGGCTGTTAGAGCCACCAAACCAACATCTGAGAAAGACTGCATGGCCCTCCACCCCTTTAGGGAGAGAGGAGGGGAGCTGGAGGGGGAGGGGGGGGGGGGCATTGAAAGAAAAGGGTAAGATGACACTGCACCGTTGGCCAATTATGCCACGGAGCTGAGAGAGGAACCCCCCCCACCCTCCACCCTCCTCTCTCCCTGATGGCTGACTGAAGGCAGAATAGCTGAACCTCTGTACGCGAAGTCGG